CGTGTTTAATATTTTTAGATTTGTAATTGATTAATTCTTTTCATTAAACACCTACCCCATTATATATTGTAAAGATTCATTCAATATATGGCTGTATTTATAAAGTTCAGATTTCGGAGTGGATACTAAATGCATTAGATTTTAATCCTTCGATATCTCTAACTTCAAAGACAAATCTGCTAGCGCCATCTGTCTTGTCATAGATGGTATTTGAGGAAATCCGTTACAAGTGTTATATTTACAAGTCTACTCGCGTAAACAAACAATACTTAGACGAGCCGTTGTCATGGGGAGACTTAAAAAAGACTTAAAAGCGACCGAAACGTCGGGCAGTAGGTAAAATAAATTGTAAATAAGTTGAGCTAATACATTTCGCGTTTTAAACCGTCAAATTGTTTATTTTATATATGTCCTTCCTTGCTTAGACACATTTTCCGTCAATTACACTTAGAACAGCATAAGCTGACCGACTCCAAGTAATAAGATACAACAATGTAACAAAATGTAAGCTCTCGAGCTATAACGGTGTATTCGGATCGTGACTGAAATTTCATATTATAAGCAAGTTAATTTAGTTGTTGGAAGTAGACGAAGCTCGCACTCATCAAATGTGGTACATGCACTTAGATTGAATAATCAATTACTTGAGAGTGTTTCACAATTCAATTTACGCAATTTCAATGTTGCATATTTCGTTCGTTAAAAGTTCTATAATGTTACGCTAGTATTACACATTCAAATTAACTTTAAACGGTTTAAAACGCGACACATATATTAGTTAAACTTATTTGAAAATTATTTTTAACTTCCCAGTCTCACCGTGACCACGGCTGCTACAAAGCATCCGAAACGTCGGACCGTAGTTAAAATATTTTCAAATTAGTTTAACAAATGTCTTTACTTATAATACTACTCATGTTAAAGATTATAAAAATACTATAAACAGTGGACTCATTTTATTCGCAGTTTTACGTCTAAACATCCAGACAGGTGGTGTGTTATACCAGCTCGATATTGAGGATCGTTTGCAACTTATTGCATTCTTAACTCTGATTTTTTTATAAAACTACCCTCAACATAACATTCTATTTTAAATTGCATACATTTATAACGATCAAATTATACCAAATGTTTGTGTGTTTGAATCAATCAGTGAGCACCGAAATTTATTTAGCCCATAAACCTTTTTATGTCTAAAATCGCAATAGCACGGATGGAAGCCACGACCAACAAAAAATATATACTTATACCTAAGGGATTTTTTAATCATATGTTGTGAAACTCTCACACATTGTACTAATTAAAATTAAATACTTTTAACAGTTTAAAACCGCGAAATATATTAGTTAACTTATTTACAATTAACTACGGCCCGAGGTTTCGCAGCAATTTTAAATATTTAAAAAATGGTAAGTAATGTCTCATAACTCATATATATCGCGTTTTGAATCTGTATCGTTTTGTTGCGTAAATATATATAATAATGCTATCAATCTTTGCCCTAAAATACAACAAGTATTTCCCAATTAATAACAATATCGTTATCATAAAAGAACTTAACCCTTGTTAGCAATTATGGGGCTAAGTTTTGTTTCGATAAACCCTAAGCATTAATCACGAAACAAAGCAAACGACTGAAGTTTTCATGTAAGCCAATTGTTTCTAATCTAATCGGGGTCTTGTAATATTTTCATATAACTACTGCCTGTCCGCGGCGTTACCTGTATTTACCATTGTTTACTTTTATACTGAATACTTAACTTTAATACAGTTTTTTTTTTAGATTAGAGACTAAATAAAACTTGCTGCCGATCTATCTTTGCTCTGGACTTTCTAAAAACCACAAACTGAAGGCGTAACGGAATTAACACTTCAGCTTTTCTATTTGTGGTACCATGGGATACCATGTGTGGTACCATGTGGTACCAAAACTTGGCTAAGTTTCTTATTATAAAATAGAGTTTTAATGGGGAAATAGGTGACATACCGAAATATTTCATAACAATTTCCGCTCGCTTAGCTTTGATACATATAATGATACTCCGTCCTCTGTTGCTGCTTCTTCTTTCTAGATCAATAAACCTACGTAAGGTGGAAAGAATTTTTCAAATTGGGCGTGTAAGTTCAGAGCTCTTTCAACCAAACAAACAAATTTTCCACCTCTATTTTTTATATATTGAATGAAAAATTCGTGGATTTTCAGTCGGCTGTAATCGCCGTGTAATCCATCAAAGTATGACATTCAACGATTTGCGTACAAACACGCCGTTTACTTATTGTCACAATTTTATGCGAGAATGATTGATATTTTACAAGGCCGTCTATTATTTTTGCTGTATTGGAATTTCACTTTGATATACGAGTATGCAAATATTCTGTGCGTACAATATTTTCAATTGTATTCTACTGAAACCATACCATTTTTCTAACAAAAATAAATGTTTAATCGATATACTTCCAAATAGTGACTTATCTACATATCTACTTAGGCTTGCTGCTAATCTACACTATTATGAAATATATCGATCAAGTTGTAACCCTAAACCCTAAATTATTAAAAAACACACACAAATATATACTCTATGGTAGTTTACATTAGTACTACGCATTTAAATAAAACACTTTAACCGTTTAAAATGCGATATATATTAGTTAAACTTATTTGAAAATTATTTAACCTACGGCACGAAGTTTTGTGTCCACAACGGCTGCAAAGAATCCGAAATGGCGGGCTGTGCTTTGCAATCATTTCCAAATAAGTTTAAACTAATATATATCGCATTTTAAACTGTTAAAGTGTTTTATTTAAATTAACAAATACAGTTTTAAATTGAGACATAAAAAATGTTTTCTTTTTTACACGCGTATCTATTTAAAATTTATTTTTATCACCGTTTCTCAATCGAAAATACGGCTATGATATCCTTGACCAAAATAATTTAGGGCGATAGGATCTCTGTGGCTTACAATATTCTTGTGCCGCTTATAAACAGCTCCCCGCTGACCACGACTCATGCGATAAAACAATTACCCGAACGAAACTTTACGTGAATTCATGAAAACGAAAATTTTTAATGAGGCTTCATTAATGAGGGAAAACTGTTAGATGGTTAATTTTTGAGCACGGAAATTACTGAAAATATTTAAAAAAGCCTCTGTAAATAACAAAACACGACGGTATGATTTTTTATTAAGTAATGATAACAATATCTCAGTGTAATTTTATTAACTCTGCAAACTCGTGGAGTCGTCAATACAATACAAATTAAATTATATAATTTCGTTTTAAATACTGTCTATAGTCTAAGCAAGTAGTACACATTTAACTAAACACAGCAGCCGAAACGTCAGGCCGAGGTTAAAAATCAGTTTCAAATAAGTTTAACTAATATATCGCGTTTTAAACCGTTAAAGTGTTTTATTTAAATAATTTCGTTTTGTTACAAGAAAATATGTATCTTAGTTTACATTCAACTATAAAAACAGTCTCTCATATCTCAGTCATTCAAGTTATTTTAGAAATAAAGCTATTTTACATTTTCGTCGATAGTCCATCTATTTTTCTGACTTAACTTGAACAATTTAAACTCATCAATTACTTAGTCCGAAAATTTTGATTTAGCATCATTTAAACTTAAGCTTTTAAGATACGCCATGTCCGTAGGCTAATTAAACTTACGCCGATAGCTGCTGTGTTTAAATCTTTATTTACTTTAAACGACGATCGCAATGTTTATGTCGTGTAAGTATGAAAATCGCGTGTCCTCCATCTTGATATAACTTGACTCAAGCTAATTATAGTTTCGCTTTGAAATGTATGCCAAGTTATTCAATTACTGCATTATAATACAACCTACATTTATTGTAATGTATTGTAATAAATATTTAATGTATATATTAAATAGTGAGGCCTCAAAAAGAATAATTGGAAATAAATATTTTAAATTCGAAGTTATAGAAGGTAGTTTAACAAAAATAACTTGGTCGGTAGTTTTACAAATTAATATGTCCGCGTCGTTCGTTGTATAAAGTCTTTTTACTTCAAAATCCTTTTAATTTGAAATGAATTTTATTGGCTTATGTATTGATTATTCCATTAGAGGGCCTCCAATCCTTGGAGAGCCGCAACTACTGGTTACCAACACTAATTTAGTGACGGTAGTTGCTTAAGCCCGTTAATCATAGACATAATCTGAGCATATATATAAGCAGCAGGGTGGGTCCAAGAGGAGTGCCTTTCAACACTGGGAAGTTAGTAGGTTAAACCGGTCCTAAGTCAAAAGATTAACATTCCGATGAAATTGTATTCAAAATGAAAACCAAATGGCATTCCCAATCAACATGCCAGGACACTTTTACGCTGGCACTAGGCGAAACTTCGGCTCACGTATGCAAATTGGTGATACAACAGGGTTGCAGCGAAGTCCCAGCGGCGTCTCTCTGCAATACTGATTTCTGAATTCGCACCTGCTCTATTCCCACGTCCACACATCACATACTCTATTCAAACTTCATTTACATCGGAACATTGTCAACGGAACAACTTTGGCTCTTTTTGCTCACCGTTCTGCCAATATTTTACTGGAAACAGCTTGGGGGAGTAATTAAATGCTTTTGCGAGTTTCGTTAGAGATTAATTCATTAATGGCTTTGAGGTTTTTAACTACATTTTATTTATATTTACACTAAATTGAGAATTTATTGATCGGATGTTAGTGGTCACGACTGCTGAATAACAGTTAAATTAATATATATCGCATTTTAAACCATTGCAGTGTTTTATACAGACAGTATTTAATGTTCACAATTGTTGTGTCGAGTATGTAACGTTTCGAACTTTACTTTAAATTTATCATTCAAACGCGCCAAATCGAACAGCAACTATGTATTTTTATCATAAGACATAGTGCATACTCTCGTTTCTTTCATACAATTTTAATAGAATACAAAATTCTACACTCGTCTCCTCCAAGAGACAGTGACGGGTGCCTTCGTGAAAAATGTATTCCGTAGAGCAGACGCAAATAGGTGAACACATTGAAAAGTCTTCCGCGCCAGCTCGTCTTACGCCATGTCAGCTGAGACGTTTGGGTTTTTTAAAGTTCACACTCTGAAGAACATTTACAAAGGCCGAAATATTCGCCCGTACATATTCCTTAAATACAATTTACGCTTGACTTATTTCGTACGTCTTTGCACTTCCACGTTCTTGCTATGTTAAAGTTGAATTAGGAAAAAGTTTGTTCAATTCGATTGCTTATGAAACTGACTATTCATTTTCGCTAACCTTAAATTTCTAAGTATAAATTACTTGCTTCCTTATAGTTACTTTGAGAATAACGCTGTAATCATTAGTATTGCTATGATAACTCATCTTTTATCCCACTTAAGTAGACTTGAATGCTATTATTAGTATCATATAACTACATCTATCTTTTTATTAAATACTCTTGACAGGCTCGTTGGTTTTATGGTAGCAATGTGTGGTTAATAATCAACGGGTCGTGGGTTCAATCTCATGTTTCTAATTATTAAATTAATAATTTTTTGAAGCATGTTAGACTTCGACTTTAAATCTGGATATTAAATGGAGGGTTAAGTATATCGAATTCAGTTCGGATCTCAAACGATTGTCCACAGATGAAGAAGCTGTGAAGTTTAATCGCGTTTCGGTTACAGTCTGTCGATTCCCAAAATCCATAGGCAAAACAGGTCGACGTGCTTTTCTGTCATCGTTCTATCATTTAAAAAATTACATTTATAATTAATTCATTTTTACTGACCGGCATATACAATTGGCCACAGTAAGTTGCCATATCTTCAGCTAGACGGCTTTTAAGGGTTGTTTACAGTTCACAGTTCAACAACAGTCCAGTCGCTCCACAGAAGTACCCATTTATCAATATTTAAAGTCTTTCAATCACGTTGTTTATGCGAGAGGGGAAAATATTTATAGCCGAGTCACGTACCATTTGCAGTTCACTCTACGTTTTAGTTGGTTTGCATCGAGATTGTTATTGCGAACCGAGTGGATATTTCGTGCGTGACTTTATCCAGTATTGGCAGTTTGTGAAAAACTAAAAACGCCGACATCAATAAATGTAACCGCTCAAACAAATTCACTCTTGCGAGTGCAAATTGCTAACGAAATGATGAAAAGGAAGTTAGCCGTGAACGCTGGAAAATATTTTTTGATATACACCGCTTTGTTGCGTAATGCGTCTCACTTTGGCCTTACGCTTATTAATAACAAAAATTCTAGTTTAAGTTACTTCTGTCTCGTCTGTCCAGCTGTTGAAGCTCTAACCCACATTGCGGTCCAAGACGAAGTCGACGTCCCCTTCGGTACACCTGCGGCTTACTAAGAGTAATCTACAAAAAAATTTCCGTCGAGAGACACGTGACGTAATTTATATTTACTTCAATTAATTCGTTATGTCTTATCTGAAAATTATGAGTAAATTCCATTTTCCGATTTGCTGCAGTTAACGTCGACCACTCTTAGGTTCTTCTTTTATACAATTAACACTTTAGCAAGCCAATATTGTGGTTTAAATAAAAATAAAAATTTTCACGTTAACTTAAGTTAATCAGCGAGTCTTTTAAACTTATATTTATGTTATAATTTCAGTAGTTTGTTTATTCCCGCCATTTTGAAATAAGGTATAGTGTCTACAGAAATCCATTTACATCTCCGTCATTTGGAATATATTATAATTTTGGTTTTTATTTTTTTTTACAGATCATGTTCGAGAATTTTCCTGTGGAACTCTCTACTATAGAACCTTCTTTGTTGATACAAAGCGAGATGCACTCTACGTTGGCGCGATGTAAGTATTCTTGGTAATCTTATTCGATAGCTACACGAAATAAAAATACACTATAAGAGTAAGAAATAGTAATTACCTTTACAAGAGGTCTTGTGTTCTGTTCAACTTAAAAAATATTTCGTTTCCTTTAGAGCTTACAGTCAGTGTATCGAATAGAACACTGTCTATCATTGTTTTTCGGGCTGTTCGGCCGACATAAGGGAGAAAAGGTTCTGCCGTCACGAGCGGACGGCATCATCAGGAGATGTTAGCTTCTTGATTGCTCGAAAAATTAAAACGTCGAGAACCTGTTCTCGCTCACGCCGAACAGCCCGAAAAACAATGATAGTAATAAACAATGATAGTAACAATTATATGCTGAACGTTGGCCGTGAAAACCTTACACAATTTATTAAAACACTGTCTGTATCATGTACTTCCCTAACCATTTATAGCAAAGCAAAATCTTCGAATCCTTGTAAAATTACATTCAATGTATAACAGTTACAATGTCATTGTATTTCAAAGTCGTCGACAGTGAGATATCGCATCATTCTGAAGTACAACGATTTTTCGATAAACTTTTCATTACAGTTTTCACGGTACGATGCATCCTTGTCGCAGTAAAACTATTTCGTTCTATAAATTTACGACGTCTAGCGATTTAGACGATAAGTCTTCGTACACAAATAAAGGAACGATTATCGCCATTTCAAATTATTATCGACATTTTCCATTCTTTCGACCCCTTTTATATATGAATTCTTTTTATGATATGAGAGGATAGACAAGCTTCGGATTCACCTGATAAAAGGTGAAATACTCCATTATACATCCATATTACATTAAAACAAGATGCGCTGTATAGTAATATATAATATTTCGGCTTTGGATATTCGGAAATCCACACACTGAAACTGAAATGCGATTAAACTTCACGCTATTTTTGTGTGGACGGTGGTAACCAGACGGAATTCCGATAATCCTACCACCCATTTAATATTAGAATTTCCAGACGAAGTCCAATATGTTGCATAGAAATTATAAATTGATTAAAAACCTCTTGGCCTCGGTGGGAATCGAACCCACGTCTCGAGAACGTTTCGACCATTAAACCGCTAAGCTTTATTCTATCTAATTAATGTTTTATGTTACAGGGATCGTCTTTATCGACTTAACATGAACAATATCAGCGCATCACACTGTGAGGTAAGTTGCTTTGATGTAATCCCGGGAAATACATTTTTTTCGGTCGGGCAGGACATAACTGATCAATTACTTGTAAATAATATTGATCAGTGAAAGGGGCACAAGATACGAGTTCGCCCCACATTAGGAAATGGAATTTCGCATAAGGGAGAAATTAAAAGCTTACTATATTTTTAAAGATTTCATAGCATTTATTAATTGGGAATATTGTGATTAAAAATCCGACCCTAAGACGTATTTATCAAGTTTAGAATTACGGAAAGAGAAATTTTTATTTAAAAAGTTTTGTCTAGAATATTTTTTAATTTGATTAATTAACATAGCATAAATGAATAAGATATACACAAAAAGTCAACTGCGACGACAAGAAGTTACATAAATATTTTTTATATTTATTAACGAGATGCCCCTTGTTTCAGAGAGATGCAATAAATCTAGAGCCTAGCAACGTAGCGCAGTGTGTGTCCAAAGGAAAATCAGAGGTAAATATATTTTTCAGGTTATAATTTTCATGTACGTGTTGGTCCTCATACCGTACGCAGTGGGTGATAACCTGGTACTAAAAATACAAATTATAATATTTGATCATAACAGATGACAAAAGTTTTGTAGATGAAAAAATCAAAAGCTCTATAAGTATTTTATATCGAAATAAAATAAATTAAAACTATTACATTACTATTAAATGATATACGGTTTGCAACTTTCCATGTTTGCCCAGTATACATACGAAAATAACTTTTAAATATGCCAATTTTAATATTCTCAACGCCAACAATATTTAAATTACATTATTTCTACCAGCAGTTATGCGCTAGCGCCTTTTATCAGATTTGTCTTTGACATATGAGACCTACTAGTCAATCTTCAACCTCATGATCAAGACATCTAAAGCAACTAGTAGTAGTAAAAAAAAAACTAATATATCACATATATACATTTTGAACCGTTTAAAGTGTAAAACTTAAATGTATGCGACAAATATTTGTTCAAATAGGATAATCGAATTAAAATAGACAACACGCTCTTGTATTTTTCAAACTTTAAAACATAAAAACTTGCGATATAACACAAGTTTTCTTGCTTAACCTTTTAAAGACACTAATATATAAAATTAAACACTCGTAACCGTTTACAATTGCGTTTTAAACCGTTAAAAGTATTTTAGGTAGCAAATACGTAAACCCATACAATATAATAGCGATATATAACAAGTAACAAAATCTTCTTGCTTAACTTTTTTAAAAACATTATTATATTAAATATCATAATGTTTTTTCGTGTTTTAAAGCAAATTTCAAACAATTCAACTTATTTGAAAATTATTTTTAACTTCGGCCCTACGTTTCGGATGCTTTGCAGCAGCCGTGGTCACGGGGAGACAAGGCTACTGCAAAGCATCCGAAACGTCGGGCTCTGAAACTAATATATCGCGTTTTAAACCGTTAAAGTGTTTTATTTAAACGTGTACTACTCGCGTAAACTATAGACAGTATTTGCTTATAAGGTTTTATTTTACGTACTTAACACGTAAACATGGACAATGTTTGTATTGTATAAATATCGTCCGCAAATATATCTTCCGCTAATCGCGAAAACACGCTCAATTAATTTTGTATTCGGTAAATTGCGCAAAACTAGCACTATTTCCGTCAAGATTTAATCTCATTTTTAACGGTGAGCTCCGGGTAGCGCGTATTTCATAGCGGGAGCTTAAAGCCACGTTCTACTCGCTATATTAAGGCCGTTAATTTTGATTTACAATAGCGTAGAGGCAATATTTGCTTTATTTCTGTTACACGTTCTTGAAGATCGGATGTAGGGTTACAATGCACTGATCAATAGTAGAGAGTTATTGTTCGTAGTAGTGTTTTACTTTGAATTGGGCTTACAACCTGGTTTGCAAGTGGTCTGACTTAGTTGCAAAATATATTGAGACATCTCAAAAAGGTCTTTGTCTCAATAAGTTATCGGTAAGTTTAATCTGATTAACAATTTCTTCACGTATATAATCTGTGGTCTATGTCACAAAATATCTTGAACTGATGGTAAGCTTATATTACATAACAGTGAAATTTTAATGTTGCAATTTGGCTATTTACGTATAGATATTTCAAAACAATTTTCATTATCTATTGTTTTCATCTAACACTTTAAGGGCTTAAAACGTGGCGTATATAAATAAACTTATTTACAATTTGTTTAAACTACGGCCCGTCGTTTCGGGTGCTTGGCAATAGTCGTGGTCACGGGTGGACGGACATACTAAAGCGTTAAGTGTTTTATTTAAATACTTAATATATAATGTAGTTTTAAATTGTACAGCTATTATTCCAGGCGGTACCAATAAAAAGTTAAAAGTCGCTATCCGTATTGTGTATAAACATAAGCGTCAAAGTTTTCTAAATCTGCTTCACAAGTTCCAATAAAAACGGACCGAAACGCTCACAATTCGAAAACTAACTCGAGCTAAAAACTAAAGGCAACTCCACAAACACCGACAAAAATATATCCAAGCAAATAAAGGAAAAAACTTTTATATTGCAAGAAACGCTATAGACCACATGGTCCCGCTCGTTTTGGGACGAAAAAAATAAATTCTTTTATTAGTATAAAAGAGGGATATAAAAAAGAATTATGTTCGAGTCTCTCACCTTAACCGTCTCGCTTCACTCTTTGAGAGCCATAATCAAAGTTACGCTGTCTACGAGTTTTCCTTTCTCTAAACACGATGTCGCGACATGAAAAAGGCTGGGAAACGCCGTGGGCGAATTTCTGCTTGGCTATCCTTCGACACTCTTCTTGTTGTTTTAAGTCATTGCTCTTTGTGATCGTATCGGGGAAAATCGTTGGGTAAAAGCTGCATTACAAATCCCTTACACCGAGTAAGGGATTTTTAACACGGGTTAAACGTATTGTTTTAAGTGTATATTACATAGGTCTATGTATAAGATCTGATATTAAGTTAAAATATTGTTTTAATTGAGAGAGGAACAGACAGAGATGCGCTATCGGCCTACACTTGTGATTAAACATTCGTATATTCACTTAAAAGCGTAACGCATATACACTTTACGGCTTTTCCGTCTGTGGTTGTTGATTTGTATATTCCAGCCACAAATATCTCAGACTAAGCCTAATATGTTTTAGAAATTTTAAATGCATGTTGCTCCCGATAGTTTAATATTGTTACCGATGGAACATCGCGACGGATTTAAAGCAGACTAAAGGCCATTTAAATAAGCTATATCTCGAAGACATTAACGGGAATATTAGTAAGACAGAAAAAGTATCCCGAGAAGGAAAGCCAGCCATAAATCTACTTACGGACAAAGTGGCGAATAATTAACGAAATGGACCAATCGAGAGCATTAGTTCGGAGTGAAGTTATGCGAGCGCCCGGCTAAGTACCGTTAAAAGAAACTCAGACGTGAACCTGATTGTTCTCGCCTTAATTCTGATTGTTTCTGAGCGTAAAGCAGTTCTGTGCGCGTCAGTACAACGGAACGCAGAGTATATTAATCCGATAATTACTTTAGAACAATCTCCCGTAAAGTTACCTCCGCTAGGCTGAAAGTGTGGCGCAAGTTTTTACGGGCGAACAAAGAACTCGGCCTAATTGTTTATTTTCACATTTCCACGGGAAACTACTAACTGGGATTACGTCTAGAGAAATAATGAGTGTTTCGTGTCGTGGGAACGCTTTGTGTGGAGAGAATAATTCACAATTTCGGAAATTGTAAAACTCATCAACTTTGTAGAATCTGTTTTCTAATTCCGTGCATCTGAGTTCTATATGCAACCTGAATAGCCCTTGTGACATGGAGAAAATTAGTTTCAATCCCTGCACAGACCGCAGTGACCACATTTCATTAGACAATATATTGCTTTTGAACTATCGCAAAATGTCTGCGGTGCCTTTAAATATTTGCTTTCATTTATATTTCATTTTGTTTACAGCAAACTGGTATATACAATCGCGATATAATGGCAATAGCTTAATGTAATTGTCTTAAAAATATAGTAATTGACTGTCAGACACATTTCAATGAAAAAGAAAATTTTAGTAAATCCTAATTCCTAATATTGAAAAATATTGTTGTGTTTGTATAAAATATTGTGTTAAGAATCGCAACATGTAAGCCCACCTTAAATTCCTTATCGTAATTACCTGATCGTAAAGATGTCTACATTTACAATTCAAATTGTCCACCCTCATATTTAAAACTTTAATTCATTTTATTTAAAACTCGCAATGAACTGAACTGTTATATTGAGCTATGTATATTCTCATAAGGGATTGTATATATAATCTTCGAGAATAAATTCTTTAAACTTTTTAAACAGAGAAGTGCACCAGCGCCATCTGAATATTCATATCGCAGATTCACTTATGAAATGTATTGGAATTATTTTAAGCGTCATTTTGTTCACTAAAACGAGCAACGCACACTCCTGTCACACGGAATATTAATGTCCCGTTCAATATTTATGTTGAACGCAAATTTACATAATCACGGCCACTGAGCGTTCGCCCACTCTTCGGAATTACTATTATTCCAATAAAATTTTCGATGCATCGAATATGTGCGGTTCCTTCATTACGTCGTTTTATACCGTCGGATTGTCAGATATCTCCATAAATTACCGGCTGAGTGCGTCATTTTGGATAGTAAAAGATGGATTTTATTATACATTTTACGAACGACGAATACATTTACGAGAATATCGGTCAAGATTGACCAACTAAATTTATATTAGCTTCGCTATTTCAAATCACATCATATATGGCACACAAAAAAAAAAACAAAGACATAAATAATAAAATAGAAGTATGTGGTGGGACACCTCTCAGCTTCTGTTGACATTATGAAATAGTACATAGAAATACCAAAATGTAACAATTAACAAAAACATACACTAAAAAAAATAAAAACAAAAACAAAAAACAACTGTTTTATAAAACTTTTATACTTTATTTACTTAGGCAATTTTTCATTAAATGACAAATTTAAAAATGCACCAATAAAATAACGAATAGATCAAAGCCTCGAATACACTAATATGACTAATAAAGACTTTATTTATTTGTACACAAAATCATCCAAAGAAAAAACATCATAGAATAAGGGACAATTCCAAAATTCAAAAAAAGAAAACCTTGTTCCTTTTGTACTGTACTCGATCCATATTTCACTAAATTACTTAATGCGATAAGGAGATGGCAATAATATTTTATTCATAGTAATTTATAATGTACGTGGTATTATATATGTTTTCGTTATTTCCAGCACTTTGACTGCCGAAACCACATCCGGGTGATCCAACCAATGGGAGACGGTTCTCGCCTGTACATCTGCGGGACCAACGCGCATAGCCCTAAAGACTGGGTTCTCTATGTAAGTTATAAATCGTAAAGTTTATTAAGTACGAGTAGTACTTACTTTAAATTCGTTAATATTAAGTAACGAGTATAAACGCTGAATTGTTATCGAGTTAGTTTTATAGTTATAGAAAGAAAACAAAATCGTATAATAACAGTTACAGTTTATAATCTATAATAAAGTTACCATATTGATTAGATTAGAATTTAAAAAAAAAGTAGTAATGTATAAGGACGTAACTGGTTAAATAATTTTGTTTATGATCAAAATAAGAATTTGATAAAAGTATTAATAATTCTTCGAAATCAGTTTAAAATAAGTTTGTAGTAAGAAAGGATAATACATAAGTTATAGCAATTCAAAAATTATATAAGCCTGAAAGATTACATTAGTATTCGTTTAAAAGGTCATTGGCCCATGCTATAGAAATCGTAGGAGCAAAAGGTCATCTCATCTTTTCCTGCGATCTTGAGGTAAAAAGTAGAAAGCTGCACTCGTTCATTCACTTAGTGCTTAATAGCACTAAGCTACGTATTACTCGTCGGAGTAACAAGAAGGCCATTATCTCTGGAAGTACTTGAACATCTTGGATATACGCCAACGACGCAACAGATCTCAACAGGTTTCATATTTGTCAAAATCAAAAACTTTTCGGTCGCGCATTTATGACTTTTTATTTACAGCCCTCTTTTTGTAGCGTTTTACAAAACATCCGAATATATAGAAGTTTTATATTTCTATTTTTAAACTTTAACGTGCGCTTTTCAATATTTTGACTACGTCGTTATTTTGTTGTAAAATCGTAACAAATACAATAACAGTGTTCGGGGAAATTTGATGACTCTGTAAACTATTAAAAAAATTATTCAGTGCACTAACTACAACTGGATGTTGGTTGATAAGAGGCTTGCTTGTATGTCTGAGGGACATTTCATGGAAACATTTCCTGTATCTAACATTAAAACGATGTTTATTAGCTCGTTCACAATAATTCTCCTTATCGTATTTTTCTACGTAATAAATATTTTATTTTTACTAATGCTATAAAAGGTGCTAAAACTGACATAGCTTCTAAATCACCTCATTGATTGATAATACAGTTCTCATGATAAATCTCTTTAAAAACTCCAACACATCCGGAAAATCCGTTTATTCCCATATTCACATCGCATCACGTCGCGCAGTGCCTTCAGATGCATTTGTAAGTACGTAAAGTAACTTCACGCTGGCAACCGCGACAAATTTCACGGATACTGATTTCAAATGACGCCGTAAGACGAGAACAGATTTTTCCCGGCGCTGCTAAAGGTATTTCTGACTGAACGACTCCGTAAAGACGGTATCCAATGACAATTTTCTGTAACGTATTTCGTGGATCTAAAAATTTAAATGACGCTATTCCATTTTTAAAACGCGGGTAGTTTCGGAAAATATTCGTTTATACTAACAAGATCTACTATTGAACTGTTAGAATTTTGCAAGCTTTTTCTACTGCCTGCTATTTTAGTATGTATTATAATTCTTGCTATAATAATCTAACAAAAATTTATAACTATAGCTATCGAAAACAGATCGCTATAAATCGGTTTTCCGTTCACTTTTCACTTTTCCTGCGTTTGACTTTCATATAATTTTATGATGTATCGCTCTGACCCCGGGAAGTTTTGGCGCCCCTTATCCGTACCATAATTTAATTTCCTCAGACAAGATATAAGAATTCCTTAAAATGGTAAGTATTATAAAATAAAAAAGCGAATTTACGGGAAAGCGCCGGATATCCGAAACAAATAGAATATTTTAAAATAGCTATTGATAGATCCCCTATCGATATCCTATTTCCTTAATATCCATAATAACTCTGATCTTCAATTTATAGAAAAATAATATATTTCGTAGGAATTTATATTTTATTACAGCCACGAAAATTATATGAAAAATGATTTCACTTACAACAGCCGCAACTCGAAACCAATTGCTGTTATTACACGGTACATAAAAATACAGTTTGTGACGATAAATCGTATTAAAAGTCAAAAACCGAGAGCGGGAACGTTGAAAATTGAAAATATATTACGTTTGTGGGGAAGGAAGTATTGAATACGATGGCCGATACTTGCCGCCGCCGACCCCACAGAGTCTACTGACGTAGAGATAGTGTTTTTAAAAGTATTATAGACTACATTTATTTATTACTCTGTAGTATCACACAGCCACAGAGGAAAAAAACGAAAGCATAATATAGTAATAGTATATAGACCGATGTTTATTCGTTTACACGTATACTAAATTTTAAAATTTTCAATAATATTTCGTTTTATCTGTAGACGTTCAATTTTACTCATGATCAATGTATTGCAATATAATCTGTCGTTTGAGTAATGCTCCCTTCTCTGTGGTGAGGGCGCGTCAGTTTCAAAAATTGAGTGAAATCACATGTACGCAATTGATAGGGTCCAGGGACGCACTGATACAAACCAAAATGTTCCATACTGCATCCAATTTATATCTATTTCATTGCAAATGGCGGTTCGCGATCGGAAGGGAATCGGTAACAAATGACGGATGCTATACGATCGTTCCATCGATTTTCATTTCTCATATTGTTTTCGTAAACTCGCAATAATAATCGAAACCCGATGATAAAACAGAAACTATTCGCTTTCTCCGCGAGACGCGAAAATACCAATTTATTTACACTGCAAAAGTTTATTCACCCGTGCAAGTTATTAAAAATCAACAATAGACAATGGATGCATAGCTTATCGAAGTGAGAAAGAGCAATAAAAGGAAAGTGATTCGTCGGATCGAATAAAACAAAGGTATCGTTTGTTACCGGCCGACGTGCATAACAATAGGACAATTTGTATAGCAGATTTAAAACACATCGCATTTATCCCGGCCGAATGAATGCGATAAGCCCCGCTTATTGATTGTTCCCATTTAAATTGAAAACATCCAACCTGTGCCGTCACACGTGCTAAATGAAGCGGAATTATAACAATGTTCTTACATCGCTGTTATTTTCATTTTATTTAAGCTTTTGTACACTGTAATGCGATCAAATTGAATTTATTGCTGTGCAGATTTTTAAATATTGATGTTCCACTAAAAACATGTTGATTTCTCTTTTCATTATTATCTGTATATATTTGTGTAGATAAAAAGTTTCGCATATCTTGGGCTTACTCTTCTTTATAATCTATATTTATTCGATCTTTTTCCTTTTTTTGTTTTGCGCTACAAGTGGTCTATGTTAGAGATTTTTAGGTTAATTTATTTTATTACAATTGTGTTTGTTATTACATAATTACAAACACTTTGAATAAATCGTGCCCTACGCAGAACGCTCTTCAATAGTTTTATTAATAATATGTTGACTATTATATTCGTTAAAAACATATTTTTTATTTAAAACCAGTATCTCGTATGTCTAAAATCAAGTCGTAATATAAATTAGACTCTCATTTTATATTAATTACTTAAATCTTTAAAAAAACAATTGGCTGCAATAAGATTATTATTAAAAAAGATTATTATTATTGTATGATTACGTCTTTCTTTCTTTCGTGAAGACTAGAATTCTCGTTATCTTTTTCGAAGCCAACTAGCAAAGTAAGGCTTAAGCTAAGCACTTTCCGTATATCAGTATTTCCATACGTAGTCTATTACGGGTTACAAGTGAAGCGATTATCCCACCTGAGCCACTGTACGGCATACTGCACTAGTGTGAACATTACCTTAATTATAACGCGGGCCGACCGAGAGAACACTTCACAAAATCACTTTATAAGCCGTACAGGGCTTCAGTGGACGGGTGGGTAGCTCTACATTGCACTTGCTAAATCATTTTCTAGTTGTCAGCCGCGATTATAAATACGAGAATCTATTACTTTTAATTAAGGAAACGACAATTTCAAAGATTGGGAGCCTATCTTTTCTCTTTCTATCAGTTTACAGATACACAATGTAGTGGTTGATAGTAATATTTTTTCTAATTGTATTGCTTTATATTCATACATATTTCATACTATGTGCACCTTTAATTTTGGATTGCATTTTTTAGTCATTTTACCGTATATTGTTATCAGTCTTGAATACTTTAGATTTAAATACTGTCTATAGTTTACGCGACTAGTACACATTTAAATAAAACACTTTAACGGTTTAAAACGCGATATATTAGTTAAACTTACGGGGAGACCCCCGTGACCACGGCTGCTGCAAAGCATCCGAAATATCGGGCCGAAGTTAAAAATCATTTTTAAATAAGTTTAACTAATATATCGCGTTTTAAACCGTTAAAGTGTTTTATTTAAAAAAATACTTTAGAGTTGATTTCATCCGGTAAATAAATTACTCTATTTTCTGCACAATAAATGCCTAAAATTGCGTTTATCGCAAGAGTTTTTGGTTTCAAACGTTAGAAAGATAGAATATATGATAAATGTTTTCCTAAAATACGTACACTTAAAATTCAGAAGTACTTTCAATTGATTTCTTCGTTGCATTAAAATAAATATCTAGATCTTTCGTTCGGGTATTTTTTGGGTTTCTAGACCCGTATTCGCAGCGTACGCATTTCCCGCTGTATCTTCGCGTCTATTTGTCGCAGCGATACTTCGATAATAGCTACATTTTTCAATTAGGAACCCGTAGTTCCTGAGATAAGTGCGTTATATTAGCATTTATATATTAGATTTAAAAGGCATTTATATATTAGTTTATTTGAAACGTCACTCTCAGCTACGGTCCTTAAAACTCTCATTAACATTCAGTAAGACGCAGTGCACATGAGTTCATGACGGAACTTTGTACGGACGCGGTTGTTTTCTTACATTTGCGAACGAACGCTTAAAGAAAACGTCGTTGATATGCGAAGCGCGAAGCGAAGTTTATATGGAAGCGGGTGAATTGAAGTTTTTTCTGCTTTTAATAGAATTCTCGCTTCAAAGTCTGAGATAAGCTACTGTTTCTTTAAAGTTTTATTCGTTCGATTTGGTAACTAGCAAGGTGGATAATGAATTAATAAAGGCTGGCTGTCTGCGTTCCAAGAATAGAGGTACAAGTATCGTGGTCATTAATACATAAATTAATACTTAAATGGGGGTACAAATATTTTTATTACATAATTTGACAATTATGTTTATGCCTAAGAAATAATTATACTTAAGCATAAATATAATAAGATACAGTACATATATGCGAGTAGATATAAATATAAAGGGTTTGAGCTTCAAAATTCTTAATGCTTATTTCCCTCTTCGCCTTTATAAACTTAAACTGTTACCCACAGCGTAGGTCCCGTCGTTCTAGCAAGTTCATATTAAAAGACAGACAAATAGCGTCGCAGACTTTTTTAGATAATTTAAAGAGGAATAATTATTTCGTACATATTTTTTGGGTATCTTGAACCGTTTTTGCAGCGTACGCCCGGGAGACCCATAATTTAAATTATATCGCGTTTTAAACCGTTAAAATGTTTTATTTAAATGTGTACTACTCGCGTAAACTATAGACAGTATTTTATTTGTTTGATTGTTTGATGATATTATTGAAATTTATATTTCAAATGTTTCTCGAGAATCTAAAGACACCTACGCACTATTTCTTCATTTATTATGGACTCATGTGGCTTCCATTCGTAAAATACAGCAGAACGTAATTTTCACGGTACGAATGTAAACGGATCGTATATATCCATTACCTATCTATTGAAAACCAAACAAAAGTCATATGAACACGGGTAGTTCAATCGATTCGCCTACATCAGACAATGTCGAGCTCAGGTGTGGTTTCAGTCCCATTCAGAATTAGGATCCAATATCTTCCAATAGCGTCAGTTTGTTTTGTCATAGTGAAAATGCTATACATTTAAAAATTGTGACGGTACAAGCGCCAGAAGGGTTTCCTATTAAACTATGCAGTTAAGTGTTTGACGGCCTTGTAGGTGTAATTTTAGCAAGGAGTCGTAGGTTTGACCCCTACCGGGCTTAACATTTTTCGGGTCTAATATTTCATGTTGGACCTCATCTGGAAATCAGGATATTCAGTGGGGTGGTCGGAATATTGAAATTTCGTCTGGATCACGAACCACAAAAAATAAAAAAGCGGACAACTTTAATCGCGTTTCAGTTTCAATCTGTGGATTTCCGAATATCCAAAGCTAAATAGGTAGACAGCGCGTCTCTTTTAGGTAAAATATGGTGGGGGTATTTTAACTTCATACCATCATTTAAATAAAACACTTTAACGGTTTAAAACGCGATATATTAGTTAAACTTACTTAAAAATGATTTTTAACTGTCTCCCCGTGACCACGGCTGCTGCAAAGCATCCGAAACGTCGGGCCGAAGTTAAAAATCATTTTCAAATAAGTTTAACTAATATATCGCGTTTTAAACCGTTTTATTTAAATGTGTACTACTCGCGTTAACTATAGAATATAATATAGTCAATTTTTTTTTGAATCTAGAGAAGAATGTTATAAATTTCAACGGTCTACTGATGGACCCACGTCGCGTTACTTGCATAATATAAAAAGAGACGCAAAGACACAGGAATATGCCTACCTACCATGTCCTAAAGGGACCTAAATTTATACCCAATGTAGAAAAAGTAGGTCTTCACTTAAAAAAATATCCGATAAAGGTGCTTTTCTACCTCGACGATAAGCACTCTCAGATTTCAGCATAATAAGTTCGTTGAACACATTTGATAGTCTTTCAGCACCAGATTCGCGTAACGTTTTTATCTGGCAAACGCGAACTTAATTTAAGCTGTATAATTGCCGACGCTTGTTTTACAAAAGATGAAGTTTCTAGGCGAACTTATGCAAAATCCTCGAACTGAGACGATCAAAACCTCTTAGCATAATGTTCTGTACGAACTTTCTGCGCTTATCTCACGTTATTATGTGACAATTTCAGATCAACGTTTAATCATTAGCTGATAGTGACACGCTTTCCCAAACTTTACCCAGTCTCAATCTCTTGCAATTTAGTGTTCCTTTGTGCGTTCGAGCGTTCAAAGGGGTTCGTTATAACTACAATACGAATATACAATATTAATGCTTTGTTTACCAATTATTAGAAAATGTGTACAATAAACATTTTAAAGTGCGTCAACGGTTCACTCTCAAAGCTAGCTGAATCGAGTTTCAATTATAAACACTTTTTGGTATATAAATTTAAAGAATATATTTTGAAATGTGTTGTGATGATCAAAAGTGTCGTGTTCAAAATGTGTTACTTAAACGAAAAAAAAAAAACGAATTTATATTCAATATGATTGTGCACCTGTCCTTTACACTTAAGTACGGTCTTTAACGTCATATCTGCCCATTAGCATCGTTAGTATTACCTTTGTTATAATTTATATTTAGAGACTATGCCAAATAAAGATTTTCTTCAATAATTACAGCAGCGACATCTTATAATAGGATCATAAACTTTTGAACAAAATCATCTTTCACAATAAACAGATGTAAGTTAGCCTGACAACTTTCACTCAATACAAAATCATTACGGTTACCAGACGCCTCATTCCTTCACTGAAAAGCTTTAAAGATGGTAATTTCGTAAGCAAACAAAGCAAGGGTCTAATGAAGGTTGCGGGTGTCCACAAACTTTCTTATTCTGCAGGGGAAGGCCCCAAGCTCTTCCGTCCGATCCATTTGCTTGTTTATTCTGGCCTCTTCTTGTCTCCGCTGCGAAATAATGTACCTACTTACCATCTTGTTTGCGTGGCGTACTTTGACAATTGTTATTTTTACACCCTTTTCAACGTAAGCTCACTTTACCCCGCTCTAATTACGAGATTAGACCATTTGTTACATTTGTATTTAAAACCGGGGTAAAGGCTACGTAAACGAGCGTCGTGTCGACACGCTAAATTGTTTGTATAAAGATCTCTTACTTGATCTTTGCATTACAAAGAATGAGGGAAGGCCAGGGCTCGGGCGCGGCGGGCGGTCACAGCGGGTGCCTCCTCGTGCCTAATTTAATCCTCGGCTTATTGAAATAAAAACAACATAGGTTTTCGTCAGGTGAGGGTAGAGAAGGGACGTGCGGGTCACAGGTGCCTTCGATGGTCGCGGCATCGTTAAAATTTACATAAAGTCTCAATCCACGACGCCGAACCGCGCTGCCCACCCCACGTTCATGCTACATTTAGTAATTTTATGATAATTTTGAAAACGGTCCCGCCACCCATCGCATTATACTAATAGAGGAGACCGCAGGACGCCCATACGATGTCGGTAAATATTCGAGCATCTTTCAAATAATACCTTTCGGTCAATAAATCGTGCCGGACGTGAAACGGACATGGATTTTTAAGTAAAATTAATAGCAGATGTGTTTTCGAGTACAGAGAGGGCAGTTACGGCAGACGCATAAATCTGCCGGTTAGATGTGTTTTTTTGAGAACGCCTTTGATTAATAGCGCGTAAAAATCGAAGTGTTTGCGCGTAAAAAATTTAATATTTAACTTTTTACGGCTCACGATCGCGAGGGTCCAAAAGCAATTCCATGCAAATGTACCTGGCTATTTACGCGTGATACAGGTATTTGGGGGTGGCGATAAAAATAAACGGCATTGTTTTGTTGCAGTCGAATTTGACGCACCTGCCCCGGCATGAGTACGTGCCGGGCATCGGCATGGGTGTCGCCAAGTGCCCCTACGACCCGGCGGACAACTCCACAGCTCTGTGGGTGGAGAGGGGCAATCCTGGCTCCCTGCCCGCCTTATATTCGGGCACTAATGCCGAATTCACGAAGGCAGACACCGTCATTTTTAGAACCGATCTGCACAACTTGACCACTGGAAGAAAGGAGTTCTCCTTCCGGCGGACACTTAAATACGACTCGAAGTGGCTAGACAGTGAGTATAAAACTTATTCATATTCTACACTTGATTTATTCATAGATAAATAATACGAATGATAGGTTTGGTTTAGTTTATAGATAAGCGTCGTTTATTTAACGTATATGTTGTAGTTATGTGTAACTAAATTAAAAAATTAAAAAGCTTTAGCTTAAACAAAGTAATGGTAACTACAGATAATATTAAGTATAGCAATAAAGAACAATAGAGCATAGATAGAATGAAAAGGCACATTAAAAAAAGTATCTACTCCATAGTTTTTTATTAGACCGAAAACTTGCGTATTTAACATGCAAAATAGACCAATTGCTTTATCAAGCTACGAAATCAATCGGCATCAATTTCTACACCTGTGACCTAATTTGAAGCTTTCAATCGTAATTTCTACATTTCATTATACGTAGTTCGACTTGAATGTTGAACGGTACTAATTTACGTCAAATTAATTCATAATCATTAAAGTCAGCGTGTATCGGCTAACCACGCGGTTCGCTTATCATTAGAACAATTGTTTCAGTCATGGGATTATACGAATTAAACAGAAATTGGCCCGTTTTCCACTAAACAATCGAAATTATACTGTTTTCGCTCTAATGAACGGTTGTATGCCTCCAATCTTTCGTTAATTTGTATTCCTGAGTGTTCTATAGAAATTATGGGACGATTAATTCCGTTTAACTTTCGTGTTATTTCTACTGTTGTTTATAATAATTATTTATTTATTTATTTAGCACTCACAACTTTACAATGTTACAATGAATTACTAGATACTAGAAAAGTATTCTTTGATTTGATAGAAAAATATATCGAAAATAATTTTCCTAAGGGGGGGCAAAGTTTGTTCGGTTGACATTTTACTATCATAACTAGGTACAACAACAAAATTTAACAATAAAATGTAAAAAAAAATAGGCATGGCATGTTAATTCATCTACGGACAGCTTTAAAAACTGGTAAAAAGCTAGGATACAATTCGAGCGCTGTCGCGCGGCGTCTCTAGTACATTATAAAAAATATAGCTCTCGTGATATTATTTGCGTGTTATACGAATTAAAATGTGCAAACAAACTACGTATTTATGCTAATAACTTCTACTGAATACAGCTATTGAGGTAATTGTAAACATAACAGCCGAACAAATATTTTATTTATTCAAAATATTTGTTTTGTGTCGCGACTTTGTTGTGCTGTGAATGACATTTGACTTGTTTTTAAAGTAAAAAATTCTTGGGTCATTACGTCGCCAGTGTGCAGTTCAAATTAGTTATTAATCGTCATTTGTCATTTGTCTTGGTAGTTCTCAGATGTGCAAACATATTTTTTTTTTATATTCTGGTCCTAACATACATAAAAACCTTAAATATTGTGTGATTGTGTAATAGTCGCAAACATAGCTTTACTAGGAACTCCCAATTTTTGGATGGACTCCAGAAATATAGAATTTGCCACGAGACAAGTGTGCCTGCTACATAAAGCAAAATGTCCATTCTCTATAGTGTTCCAGGTCTTACATCCACATTTTATACATACATTATTAACTATTCAATCAATATAATAATCAGTGACGTAATTTGAAATCCAAGGTTTATAAAACCAATTTTTTCCCATACCATCGTGTTTGTAGCCCGAAATGGGCATTATTGATCGTTCAAAAGTTCTATAATTTCAGTTAGCTAAACGCAACTTCGAAACATTTTATGTCCAGCAATATTTTTCGCAAAACGACGTACTAACGATTCCACTAAATCCGTACTATTGCTAATTGCGAAGCCCCAATAATTTATGGCCCCTAATATTCAAGCTTTAAAGTCTTATTAGGAACTAATTCTCCAAGTTTAATTTCGCTGGTGGGAAACTACCTTTGCTAGCATATTGCATAGAACTGTTGCCTCGTGTGTTTAATCCTTTGCACGTGGCGATTTCATTCGAAACCATGAAATGAGTGCTTATTACTAACGCCCTCTATAGGGCACAATTGACACATGGCTTCATCTAATATTTATTGCATATCACACGGAATATCAGCAATTTGATATTGTAATAATATGGGAAGCCGTTGTATGCGAGCCGACTTAATTCATAGGCGGATTTATTAAAATGAATTTCACTTCATGTTTACTAAAAGTAATTTTCTACAGATTTTTATTTTACAGTATTGTATTTGGAATTAAAGCCACTTATTTTCGTGTACATTTAATTTTATTCTACATCCCAAAGCACAAATATAAAACACAATAAAAAGATTGACAAATACTCCAGTTAGTTGACACAAGTATTATAAATTGAATGAGAGAAAAAGGGGTTAAAATGCAAAGTATATTTTAACTACACTATTGACCTATTAAGTCGCGTATCAATCCGTTGAAAATCGTTTTATTTATTATATGTTTTACTTATTATTATTAAAAAGTAACATTAAACTGTGGGGTATTGTTATCGCCACAAAAAGTTGGGATTATTACCCAGTTAGTATATTAATGTTTATGCAATTGTAATTTAGATTTTATGTTGTAGCGAAACACTTGCATGACTTACTACCGTATACACATCGTCCTTTTTTTTAAAAAAAAGGACAACAATGGGTTGCCTGGAAGCGATCGCTTGTTAGCGATAGGGCCGCCCATTGCACTCCATATGCTTTTTTTGTGCAATGAAGTGTTAATAAATATATAAATAAATCAAACAGATCGTTTAAATAAAACACTTTAACGGTTTAGAACGCGGTACATATTAGTTAAAACTTATTTAAGCTACGGCCTGACGTTTCGGATCAGCCGTGTTCACGGGGTATTTTCAAATAAGTTTAAACTAATATATTTCGCAAATAAACCGTTAAAGTGTTTTACTTAAATATGTAATACTCGCGTAAACCACAACAGATCGCTTAAATATTATTTCCCATTATTCTAGAACCAAACTTCGTTGGATCTTTCGACGTCGGCGACTACGTCCTATTCTTCTTCCGCGAGACCGCAGTGGAATATATCAATTGTGGCAAAGCTGTCTACTCGAGGGTAGCAAGGGTCTGCAAGCGTGACACTGGAGGAAAGAACATCCTTAGTCAGAACTGGGCCACCTATCTGAAGGCGCGACTCAATTGCAGCATACCTGGAGAGTTTCCCTTCTACTTCAATGAAATACGTAAGTATTTAATTATCAAACATACAAACAAGAAAAAATTTTATTGTCACCATAATGTTACAAAATAAAACTTAATTTAAAAAATCCAAAATGTAGCGAGAAAAGATGGCCTTATCGCTAAAAAGCGATTTCTTCGAATTAATCCTTAGTTATTAAAACTATAAATTTAAAATTGTTGATTGTTGTAAGTTTATATGACAAACATGGTAAATACATAATACAAAGTTTCGTAAATTATTAAAATCGACCACAGATTAACTTTTAACTCCGCTTGCCCGTTTAGACTCAATCTTTAACTAAGGCATAAGTAAATACTGTCTATAGTTTACGCGAAATAAATAAGGTATAAGTAGTTTTGGAGTAAAATATTAACAGACAAGAATGTCGTTCACTTGATGCTGGTGAACCACTAGCTTGGTTTTGAATATTCGGTATTCCACAAACTGAAATCAAAACGCCATCAAACTTGATGGCTATTTCATCTGTGAACGGTAGCAATGCCGGACAGAATTTCGATATTCCTACCACCTTTTAAATACCCAGACTTCCAGACGAAGTCACAAATTATAAATAGATAAGACATACTCAGTGGGGTTTGAAAACACGATTCGTTGATTATTAGACACCCAATGAACATTTACACCAACGAACTTATAATTATTATGGTGTATATGTTATGCCAAATCTTTGTACACCAATGTGATGTTGTAATGGTGTAAACACTATTCAATTAGATATTTAAATAAATATTATACTAAAATGTTTTTTTTTATTGTTAATTTAAAATTCCCGTAACGCAAATAGTTGAGTTTGCTCGTTGTTAAACGAAACGTCCTCTCTTAAACATGTTCCGTCAGCCGAGTCCACAAACTTAGATTTTAACTACATTCCCCTTCGACCCAAACATGCAAATATTGACTGTCAATTCGGGACAAATATACGGAGTTTCAATTCAATGGTGCATAGAGATTTAAGCGACAAACGCGCAGCCAATTCCCGACGAGGTCCCATCTTCATCTAATATTAACGTGGATCGTTCTGCCTCTAACGCGTCTCTCCTGCATTCCATGCATAACTCATGCTTTAAAATGGACAGTTCATTATTTATATTATTCTTAACTCAATTAGGCGTATCACTGTCGAAGGGTCAACAGATATTGTTCAAGTCAAAGTCAAAGTCAAAGTCAAAAATCATTTATTCATGTAGGTAACTATGTACACTTATGAACGTCACAAAATAATTATAGAATCTAACTTTACATTTACTACCAGTTCTCAAATCAAGGGCGTAGAACGAACGAGAAGAACTGGCAATAAACTCGCCGTCACTCCTTTTATCGCCAAGTTTCATTTTACATTCTTGATTTACTTTTAGTACACAACATATTTTTCCTTGTAAGAGCGGGTTCCTCCACACCCCAAGCATTTTTATCATTTAAATATTGATTAACATGATAATAACCCTTTTCAAGCAATTTTTGTTTTACATACGATTTAAACCTATTTATTGAGAGTGCTTGCACTTCGCTGGGGATTTTATTAAAGTATCGTATGCAGTTACCTTGAAAAGAACTACTACTTTTATGGAGCCTTTTGTTTGGTACACTTATTTTGTCCTTATTACGCGTATTGTACTGATGAAAGCTGCCGTTTGTTTTAAAAGTATCTACGTTTTTCCTTACATATAAAACATTTTCATAGATATATTGACTTGCCAACGTTAGGATATTCAATGCTTTAAACTTATTTCGAACAGACTCTCGTGGGGAAAGACCACAAATCGATCGAATAGCCCGTTTCTGCAAAACAAATATGGTTTGAATATCGGCTGCGTTGCCCCACAAAAGGATACCATAAGACATTACACTATGGAAGTAACTGAAGTAGACAAGCTTGGCTGTATTTTCATCAGTAAGCTGTCGTATCTTCTTTACAGCAAAGGCTGCAGAGCTTAGTTTATTCGAAAGATTTTTAATGTGTGGTCCCCACTGAAGTTTACAATCGAGAGTTATACCCAAAAACACAGCATCTTCGACAAAACCTATTTCTTCATCTTTTATTTGTATACTATCATTTCTACTGCATTTAACGTTCGTTGTTACAAACTTAAGGCATTTAGTCTTCTTTTCATTTAGCAAAAGATTATTTGTGTTAAACCAAGTATCTAAAGTCTAAACTGTCGGTTCGCCAATTAATGTATCTTTTCACATTAATTGGCGAAAGCTCCCGTCTTATTAAAATAAATGTTTTTATTTAAATTTATAAGCATTCCGTTTTTAGCAGTAGCAATAGCATCGCACAGGTGTGGATTCGATTCCCGCCTGTGTGTCTAATTATTTATCTTTCGTTAGCCAGCCCAATAGCTGTGCAATTTAATTTTACTTCTCTTCATATCACTATAACTTTTATAATCACTTATACTATAAACTATATAGTTTTACGTGGTTTTTTAGATGATGGTATAATTTTTCATGAAAATTGGTATTTTATAAAAAAATAATGATACTGTAAAAACCAGCTCAGTAAGTTCCAAGACTTCCTACAATAAAATTAAAAAAAAAGGCTTACTTTTAATCACATTCACACAAATATCAAGAAAATTTGTTTGCACTTGTATTTGTATTTTTACAAGCTTCTAGTAAAAGCGAAAAGTATTTAAATAATCCTCTTTATAGTTCAGTTAACGACTATGATAGTATTTTATGTGTATAATATCTGACCTACATTTACTAATTGAAAGCTATAGTCTGATAAATAGACAGACGCCATAGAATAAACTAGGACATGGTGCTACGTAAAGGAAATGAAAGGTAATTCTACGAAAACGTGCCAATTTTTTTCATTTATTGATCTTCATTTGGCCGACATACAAAAAAAAGTAAAATCCCGTTTTCCCCCTGTGGAGCATGGTTCAAACATATTTCTGTGTTCGTTTCACTTATGAGTTTTATTTACGCCCGAGTGGTTGATCAGACTTCTGTGCTCTAATCGACCGAAACAATGAACTGTTTCCACGGGTTCGAACCCTACAGGGTTGAGGTTAAATACTAGGCAACACGTTTAACCATTTGGCTACAGAGGTAGTCAGACGTAGCAACGTCCAATATACCTATGCCTGTAAACAACTGTTCGTGGGTCGAAGCAAAACCAAAATCTTTATAAACATTTCAGGAAAGTCTAGATATTGAATTGGTGGTGGAAATTACAGAATTTCGATCAGATGAACATAAAAATATAAGCGATAAAAGTGATGTAAATTGTATGTTTCTTTAAGGCACTTGGTCAAAAGCGAGAAATCTTATCACCACCGGTTGTTAACAAAGCAATGAATTCCGAAATTATATAAACGTATTGCAGATAAGGCCGTATTTAAAAAGGAGGTTGGAAGAATAAATTATATTTATAGTCGACACGCGCTAAGCTTTCGTTTTGACAACTGTTTCGTGTTTTGTTTGTAAAATATGTTCCCGCTTTTTCCCAAAACATCGCTTTACGCCTTTCTCATATTTAATATGACTGTTATTTATGATCCTTCAAGCCGCAATATTTACATTATTTTCTTATCTTAACAATAATTTAAAACATTTCGTCCCTCGACTATTGCGACAGCAATACATTACAATGTAATCTTTCCCTTTTTAGCTTTTTTGACGACTTATTTAGTGTTATAATCATTTAAAAGATTTTTATTTACAAAAAGCCCTTATTTATAAAATAACATTGGAACAAAATAGGTGAACAGTATTATTTCAAACAAACCCTTGTTGCCTGGAAAAGATCGCTCTATAGCGTAAGGCCGCCCATTATACTCTTTAACTAGTAATAATATTTCCTCTAATTATTAAGACTATTTTAAAGTTTATATATGTATATACTTTGTGTGTTGCAAGAAAGAGTTAAATAAATATATAAACCATTTCCTTTAAAATAACGAATATTGGGCAATGAAAGAGATTTTAGTTAGTTAGAACTATTTTCAAATGTTTTTACGTAAATAACTTACTAGAAACACAGAATCGCTGTGAATTTACAAAAAATCGTATAATAATAAAATACAATTTAAAATATTATAATAAAATACTCAAGTAATAGTTTTGTACCTATCTTGGTTAAAAAAAAACATATGATTTACTAACATCTCATTCTTATTTTTCGAATTACCTTATCTTTCTATAGGCGTTATCTTGTCTACGCCTTATTCAAGAACAATAATATAAACATCCTTATATATAGGCGAACGCTGTCTACTGTGTATTTACGTAGGCACACATAACAAACGTCAAATTAAACCAATCTCTAGCCCGATATTATTCAAACAATTTAAGCTCGTGTGACATCTACTATCTTGGAACTAATCGTGATAACTTCCGACTGAACTTTGACAACCGCAATAGTTAAAATTAATTGGTTTGCAAACTGGCGTATACAATAATTGCTAGTGTCGTATATTAGGCTGTAATAATATAAATTAAACCGCGAATAAAGGGGCGCGTGTGATGTCATAGAAATGTTCAATTAAGTTATTGTGTTATTGTTTTGTATGGCGCGAGCATAGCGTTTACACTTGTGTACGCCCGACTGCAACGCACGTCGTCCAAGATTCGATATTCATAAGTTTGTTCTGCATTTAGAACGATTGTAAGAGATTTCTTGCCCGGGATTTCGAAGTTATAAAGTCCCATCATCATATCTCTCTCTCCAAAACACATCGGTCTTGGTATTCATAGCATCTCCTATCAGAGAGCAGACCTGATTTAACCTGACCTGATGATGAGATAATAGAATTGAAATAAAAGAACATAATTTGGATATCTTCAATAATCAATAAAAAAAAGGTATTGAGGGTAGTTCGTGAAAGACACACGCGTTTTCTCTGCTCTCATAAAAAAATTATTTTAAAAATCAAAAATAGTGCTTAAATAGTATATATGATACATATCTAATTACCTTAAGTGCCAGTATTTAGTTTCCATCAATCAAATCCTTACATAACTTAAACACTTTTTCTTGTTAATACTTGTCACCTTCACTATGGATGCTTTGAAGAAACAGTTGGATGACATGAAGGAAACTTTCACCTACCGCATGAGAGACTTTCAAAAGGATCTACAAAAGGGAAACTCTGATACGGCAAGTCCATCAAGCAGGCTGGCATCTGACTTTGCAGTTTTCCGCACATTTGTCATGACATCCCTTGAATGTCTACAGAACCAGATGGAGCTTTTGTCCCGCCTTGCTGATCAGATGGAAACTAGAAGTCGGGGTAAGATTCTTCTTATACATGGGGTACCTGAGTCTAAAAACGAGAACACTGCATCGCTTGTTGCTACTACACTAGCGAAGCATCTCTCCGTTACTACATTGACCCCTGACACTTTCTCTAAATGTCACTGAATGGGCCAAGCTAAGTCTGAGAAACCCAGAGTGATTTTAATAAAGTGCCGGGACCACTTAATGAAATCTAAGATATGGCACGACAAGAAAGGCTTGAAGAATACTGGTCTGACACTGTCTGAGTTCCTCACTAAGCCGCGCCATGACGCTTTTATGGCTGCCCGCAAAAAGTTCGGGATAAATCAGTGCTGGACTAGAGATGGCTGTGTGTATGTCTTGGATTCCACCGGCAATCGTCACAAGGTTTTCACAGTTGGTGATCTGGACGCCATTCCTGGAGAAAGTTCTCCTGTCTCCACTCCCACCGAAGTTACAAGACAGGCTGTGACTCCTAATGAGCCCCGGGCAAGACCCAAGCGTAACCTCCGCAATAAGTGATCCCCACATGTAATTTTCGTTCTTTGTTTTTTTCTTATATTTGTGTTAAAACTTCTTTTCCTCAAGTAGTCTCTTTGTGATCGGCGAGTTATGTATAGTGTTTCGTTTCCATAGCATATCGTTTCACCCTTATCACTTATTATCATCAATAAGTAGCACTAATAGGGTGAACTTTGCAGTGAGATGCCCGCTTTGTTTGGTTCGTTCATGTTGTGCACGCAGCCTGTATTTGTATATATATTAACTATTGTATAAATTTTATGTTGCATTGTTTTGATCTATTACTTATAATTTTTCAATATTTTTGTAAACAAACTGATAAGTGATAACAGGTTGACGTGTTTTCCATAAGCTGACAATGACAGTGACATATGGCATTTTAATCGATTCACAAATGAAATACTGACTCGTACGCTAATCGATCAAAGATTAATGTCTTCGATGCTTGTATTATTCTTTGTTTCCTTTTCTTTGTATAATAAGGTTGCTTATTTTAATAATGATTGGTAACTGTAACTGTTGTTTATTGATTTATGTGTAAATGCTGGCCTTTGTATGTTTTTAACTGTAGTTTTAGTTTTTGTTTTAATTAGTTAAGATAATTAGTGTATTTTTTGTTTATTTGTTTGCTTAGCTTACTTAGATATAGGTACTAAGTGTAATGTTTGATTTTATTAGTTCAAATAATTCTGATACTCGCATAGAAAGTCTTTCTGATATTAGTGAAGATGATAGTTCCCTCAATGACTCTTACTTGCCGCTTAATGACAATCTCTCAAATAGGTTTCCTACAAATGTAAAAAGCTTAAACGTCGTACACATTAATGCGCAAAGCGTCCCTGCCCATTATAATGACCTCCTAAGCTCTTTTGAATCAACTAATGTACACGCCATTTTAATCTCGGAAACCTGGCTTAAACCCAGCCTTCCTTCCTCGTTATATGATATACCTGGTTTTCGTCTGATCCGGAATGATAGGGTAGCCCGTGTCGGTGGTGGTGTAGCAATATATCTTCGATCTCACATACCTTTCACTATCCTCAGCAACTCTTATGTCAGTGGACCTCGTAGTGAGGAAGAGTACCTCATTGTTGAGGTGGTAATATCCTTCACCAAAATCCTACTTGCCGTTTTCTATAGTCCCTCTCTTACTGTTAATTACTTTCCTTCGCTAGATTCCCTTCTTGAAAAATTTGTTCCGCCATACGATCATCTCATTTTGATGGGCGATTTCAATACTTGTATCCTTAAAGATGATCATCGATCCAAAAGGCTCATTTCTCTTATTGACTCTTATAATCTACACATTCTTCCTCTTTCTGCTACACACCACTATCCCCACTCTACTCCCTCTCTTATAGACCTTATGATAGTTTCCAAACCTGATTTTGTTTCTTCACACGGACAGTGTTCAGCAGATGCTTTCTCCTTTCACGATCTTGTATTTCTCTCTTATAAACTGCGACCTCCAAAAGCCAAAGCTCGTTTAAGTCTTCAGCGCAATTTTAGCTCAATAAACAGAGAACTACTTTCTGAAGATGCTCGAAATATTGAATGGAAAGTCATACTTGACAGCGACGACATCAATAGGAAAGTGGCTCTGTTTAACTCTTTTTTAACCCAGCTTTATGACAAACATGCGCCTATCAAACCGGTCAAGATTAAGCATCTACCAGCCCCATGGCTTACGGATGATATTAAGAAGATGCAAAGGGCAAGAGACCGAGCCAAAGCCGCGTTTAAAAAGATTAATAGTGACGCCAATCGGGACAAGTACCTAAAACTCAGAAATCGTTGCAATACCATGTGTAGAGACGCACAATGCCGCCATATCTACTCGTCTGTTGAGAACGGCAATACAATTAAGACTTGGAAATTTCTTAAAACGTTAGGAATTGGCAAACAGAATCATTCAATTTCTAATAATCACAACTTGAATTTACTCAATCAACATTTTACCAGTCCCTCAGTTACACTTCATACCAACGATAAAAATCGTACTATAAACTTTCTTTCTTCTCTGCCAATTCCTACTGTTCCACCGTTCAACTTCTGTCCGTTCACTGATTGTGACGTTAAAAAGAACATCATTTCCATCACCTCTAAGGCTGTCGGTAGTGATTGCATTAGTCGTAACATGATCCTTCCTATTATTGATATCCTTGCTCCAGTAATCTGTCACATACTAAACTTTTCCTTAACATCGGGCGTCTTTCCCAATTCCTGGAAAGATGCTAATGTTATACCGATTCCCAAAAAATCTCGTCCTCTAACCTTCTCGGACTATCGTCCCATCTCAATTCTCCCTTTCCTCTCCAAGGTCCTTGAACGCTTAGTCCACCATCAATTATGCATGTATCTTAACAAAACTAATTTTCTTAATCCTCTCCAATCCGGCTTTCGTCCTGGTCATAGTACGACTGCTGCACTTGTCAAAATCACGGATGACATCCGGCGCAGTATGGATAACCAGCAGGTGACCATACTTACTCTTCTCGATTTCAGCAATGCCTTTTGTACTGTTGATTTTGACATACTACTCAGCTTATTGCGTTCTATTAACGTATCTCCAACTGTGATCGGATGGTTTCATAGTTATTTGAAGGGACGCCGTCAGAGGATTAGCATACCGGAGCAGTCCTCCTCATGGCATGACCTTACTGCCGGTGTACCGCAAGGTGGCGTGCTATCACCTCTTCTTTTCTCTATTTTTATTAATTCCATCACTAAGAACATTTCTTCTCTCTATCACATGTATGCAGACGATATTCAGATATACAGACATACCAGTCTCGAGGAACTTCCTCTTGCCATCCAGTCTACTAATCGCGACCTAAATATCATTACTGACTGGTGCACCCGCTTTGGTCTCAAAATTAACCCAACTAAGACCCAAAGTATCATCATTGGTAGTAGTAAGCTTACTGGCCGGGTTGACAGGCAAAGTATTTCACCGATTGTTGTAGACGGTACTATCATTCCTTTCACTTCTTCTGTCAAAAGCTTGGGTCTAATTATTGACGAAAATCTGTCCTGGCATCCTCATCTAAACCAGTTAAGCAAGAAAATATATGCCGCTTCACACTCCCTAAAACGCTTGCAAAACTTCCTTCCCATCCCTACAAAAATTTTACTTGCTCAGTCTCTATTACTCCCCATTCTGGACTATGCTGATGTATCATTCACTGATCTAACTGAACTTCAGCTTGATAAGCTTGAGCGGCTTCAGAATACGTGTATCCGTTTCATTTTTGGCCTTCGCAAATACGATCATGTTTCTGAATTTCGTAGAAAGCTTAACTGGCTCCCTATCCGAACTCGTCGGAATTCCCATCTTCTTCATCTCCTCTACCGTGTCCTTTTCGACCCCAAAACTCCCTCTTATCTAAAAGAGATATTCGTCCTTTTAGGTTCCCACAACTTAAACCTTCGTTCTATTGACAATCTCCTCTTATTTGTTCCTAAGCATAAAACATCTTTCTTTAATAATTCCGCCACCGTCAAAGCGATTCGCCTTTGGAACTCTCTTCCCACTGATATCAGAAAAGCTCAATCTCTCCGTTCTTTTAAGAGTTTACTCTATAAGTTTTACCTTTCCAACTCTTAAGTTATTCTCTCCCCACTATCTTAGTGCTATGTATTCTTTTGCGATGTACCCTTTCTTTTGTTTGTTATTCCTTACACCTACCCACTCAATAAGTCTTTTTCTTTTCTCCTGTACTTCAGGTTGCCTGGAAGAGATCGCTGCTTAGCGATAAGGCCGCCTTTTATTTATAAGTTAGTACGTAAGATTATTTCTCTTTTTGTATGTGTAGTTTGGGTTATAAATAATAAAGTTATAATAAATAAATAATCATAAAATATCCGACCAAAAAAGAGTTTATTTATAACAGATTATACGTAAACAAAGATGGAAATACAATTTTATATCAATTAAACCCACCGAAGGTTTCCTTCTAACTAATATAACGCCTAATCCGCAGCAGAACGCTTCCTGAATTTCAGCGAGACTCCCGCGGGACGCATTAAATGCGAAACGGGATCGCCTGAATAGAATACCCCCATCTGTTTTATGTTTGCTGTTACGTTTAAGAGCGAATTTAATTTCTGTTCTCGATAATAAAATAAATAAAATCTTTATTGACCTATTTGACTTTACAATGTGTTTCAAACCAACGGATATTATTGTAAAATATATTTAAAACGCCTCTGTTAATGTTAGTTAAATGGTTAAACGTGTTGCCTAGCAACATATATAACAATAGACTGTTTCGGTCGGGCAGGGCTCAAAAGCATGATCAACAACTTGCCACTAAATAAAACCCATCATTAAAACGCATACAGAAATATGTTCATCACTTGCTCCACGAGGGGAAACTAGATTTCGCTTTATTTTTAAAACGAATATATATTGTATAGATTCCTTGTCCTTTTCAGAGATCTTTGATATTATCTTATATATAATTCATATTAGAGTATTACATTTTTCAGGATTTATCATACTTGCTTAAGCAAACTTAAGCTAAGCAATTTGTTTAAAATTATGCTGCCATAAATGATATTTAACTTATAGCTAAATAGAATATGGTGTAGTATATATACTAACTTTACACTTGCTCTTTATATTATATACTAAAAATTGTCATTAGCAATCATTGTTAAAGTTTGTATACCTATTTTTTTTCTGGTGTACCTACATAACTTTCACATTTCTATTTTTGAAGTCTTATTCAAGAATTTTCGTTTGTTGAGTTTCAATTGTTTATAACCACATTTTTCTTTTACAGAAAGCATTTACAAAGTTCCCGGAGACGATAGCCGCTTCTACGGAGTCTTCACTACGGCATCCACTGGTCTTATGGGTTCTGCTATCTGCACATTTACGATCAAAGATATCCAAAAAGCCTTCGAGGGAAAGTTCAAAGAACAGGCCACATCAAGCTCTGCATGGTTACCAGTTATCAGCAGCAAGGTCCCAGAACCAAGACCCGGTACTTGTGTCAACGATACATCATCGTTGCCAGACACAGTGCTCAATTTTATTCGGTAAGTAACAAAATTTCAACTTTTCTGACGTTTAGATTTTAGTAATTCGTTTTACAGTTTTAAGCGCTTTGTTTAAAAAAAAAAACAAATGATAAGGGCCATATCTTTTTTCCAAAGCGTTTCTTTTCGAAATTTAATAAAAAAATTAAAATGATACTGTCTGTAGCTTACGCGAACATTTAAATGAAACACTTGAACGGTTTTAAACGCGATATATATTAGTTAAACTTATTTAAAAAAAATTTTAACTACGGCCCGTCGTTTCTGATGCTTTGCAGCAGCCGTGGTCACGAGGAGTCTCGCCGTGAATAATTAAAATAAGTTTAACTAATAGATATCGCGTTTTAAACTGTTAGTGTTTTATTTAAATTGGAATGATTATTCATGATGATTTGCAAATTTTGTAGGCAAAAAACTGTTTTTGTCTAAAGTCCATTGTAAACATTTCCCGTTTTTCAGCTTGCTTACAATTGTTCTCGCAATTAGAACTCTTATATATGTTCTCTTAATCATTTACTACAGGCTGGATACTGTGAACAGTAATGAAATTCAATTCAAATGGATTATTCCTTAATGGTTACGTGAACCACCATTTTGATATCAATATTTATGTTTTCAACGTGTAGTAGTAGCAAAATGAAATATAGAGATTTCTCGAATATGAAAGTATGAATCTTAGACTTTATTATATAGATTTATCTAAATATTGTCTGTAATTTACTCGAGTAGTACAATGTGTACTTTGTAAACACGTAAACGGTTTAAAACGCGATGTATATTACTATTCCTGAACCAGCCTGAAAACCAGCGCAGTTCAGTGTGACAAGGATTCAGCAGGAGAGGTGAGAATGGTACCCACTGATTGCCATTTCTTATTTATTTATTGTTTGACTATCATTGATTTACGCAATTAAGTGGTTATAAGTTTACTTGCACATGTGTACTTTTACATACATGTGTTAGAAAGGCAATAAAAAGTTTTTGAATCCTAAAAAGAAAACTTCTCTTTGAATTATACACACTTAGCAGTTAGCGGATACTAATGAATGCAATTAAAACAATCTGTGGGTACGCATTGTCGGAATAAAGGACGTTTTCGCGTCTGGCAATTACAGCAATCTGTCTCAAGACACGTATTCTCAGGGCGCCTTTGACGTAAAGCAAACTGTGGGCGATAGGACAGACTGCGGTCTCCTATAAAAGCGTTTTATCGCTACTCAAAATTCGTTAGATCATATACCTATAGATGTACCGCGATAGAAGCATTATAATTTTTCCATGAGGAACAAGGATAGAGTAATAAATATTTGTCTTTGTCGCCCTTGCAAACAATAGAGATATTTCGTTGTAGAAAGTATTTTTATGAAAGAAATGGTGGATTGTAGTGTTGTACGCTGAAAAAGCCGCTGTTTATAAAAAAAAATGTTTATGTCATTTGTTGTAAGGGCAAGTATTGATATGTTCTAAGCAAAATGCACAATTGTTATGTTCCTCATACACTAACTCTAGTGATATAGAAACAAGGTGTGTTAATATCGATTTTTCGTCTTTTTACGTGTCTGTAGTTATAATTTGATAAAGTAAAGGGGGCATTTTACCCCCTGTTGAAAATGCCCCCTTAAATTGAGCTTAAACATTTGGACAAACGTTAAGATGTATTGTACTGACATCTATCGACTAGAATCTTAGAATGAGGGAGACACTCAAGGTTCACTACAGCGTTTATAGGAAACAACGGCCTTACACAGTCGACGATCACTTACAAAGTTGCCAGTTGGCAGTGGGACTATCATTGAAATCCAAAGGCACTTTTATCTAGCAACACGTCCTGTTAATTACCCGACGCTCTCGTCCCGAGGGCGTTCAATTATTTTTTTCCACACTTCACACGTAGAGACGTTGAGATTTTAACACTTCACGTGAGCCATATAACAATTCGCACTGAGATTTGAAATTTTAATTACATAAGTGGGGTTCGGAGGTTTTAAGCTCGCGTCGGGTCGCGGTGTTGCCATACTTTATCGTCGGCGACAGACGTTTCATTTAGGGAATTATGTAGCAATTCTTTGAACGGTTTTTTCCTTTTATTTTAAATTAACAGTGCATATTCACGATATATTTAATTGTATTTTATGGTATAATCATGTATACTTTATAGAGTCACCACCATGTCTGTAACTCACCATCATGTTTGTAAAAAACATAGGTAGGTATCGATTTTATATAAAAAAATACGACACGGGTGGGACTTAGTGCGTACTGTTGCTCTAACCAATAGAGCTACCGGGTCCTATATCGTCCTATACCGTCATCGTTGATTTTTTTCATCATACTTGTATAATTACTAATTTATATAATGTTGTCATGAAAAAATATTACATGTTTCCAAAACAAAAGTGAATTCTGTGCTTGTTTCAGCGTGGCATTTGAAAATCTTTAAAATAAACTCAATTTTAACACTCATCCACTTGGCAACTCAGTATATATATGTTTAAATTTTAAGTAATACTAGACTGGTATTCAAGATGTTATTATGACTATAGTTCCAAGTATAAAAATTCTGTATGTTTGTCAGGTCTCACCCCCTAATGGACAGCGCGGTTTCGCATGAGCATGAGAAGCCAATCTATTACAAGAGAGACCTGTTCTTCACGAGGCTCGTCGTAGACCGTGTGAAGGTGGATATGATGGGGCATCAACTAGAATACACTGTTTACTACGCTGGGACAAGTAAGTTTAAATTTTTTTTTAGTTAGTTACCGAATCGATTACTGCTTTTATGATGCGTACCTTCATTTTATTCTGTTAATATATTTTTATCATAAAAAACCAACATTGCAATCATTTATAAAATTTTTATAAAGAAAAAAAAAATGTTCGCAAATTATTTTTTCCAATAAAACCCTTTTTGAGCAAATATTGAGCTCCGAAGATATATATAGCTGAAGAGTTTGTTTTTTTGAACGCGCTAATCTCAGGAACTACTGGTTCGAATTGAACAATTATTTTTGTGTTATAGCTTTTATCGAGGAAAATTATAACATTCGGCTGTGACTAATAAAAGCATAGAAACAGCGAGACATATGGAAAAAACGGGAAAAATTGTTCATCTATATGGGTGTCCGATGCCACGCTGTTTTCGCTGTTCAAATTACTCAAAAAATATGTAGGAAAATCTTGTAAGTTTAACTTGCAAGAACGACAGGACGCGTTCGAAGCTTAAGTTTATAAAGATGAAAAGGAGATTTGCAACAAATTTCATTGCCCGAAATTACTATTATACGGACGAAGTCGCTAACACTGCTAGTTTCAAAATAATGATACATATAATAATTTCGCTCCAAACTCTCATGTAGCCCATTTTTATTATTAAATATAACTCCATTGATGTCTAGCTAAAGTTAAGCATACTTCATGTGTCTAAGTGCACATCACCGTCGAAATTGAATTAATAATTTTGACTTGAGTGATACAGTAATTGAATAACGCTTCACGCTAAGGGTCGGGTCACGAATATTCGACCTACATACACTTATTTTGTCAGCTGTCAATAATACCGGCTTATGATTTGTAAGCGTGCTTCTATATATCCCTAACACAGCCCTATTATCATTTACGGATAATGAAAAATATTATTTCATATTGGGAAACGTAATATAAAAAAAGATTCGCTATCACCTGAAAATTCTGTTATTTATATAAATAATTCCATAAAAATCAATGGGTATAAAAGGGTATTGTCAATATAGATGTGGATAGATATTAGATGGACGAAAAACAAATAGGTACCTATTTGGACTCTAAAAAGCCTAAAGAATAGCTATTATATAGTGTACAATACTTACATTCTTAGGTGGAACTATCATCGTTACATCTAGTATATAGAGCTTTAAAGAGTCTAGACTAAACTATTTTAACTAAATTTAAATAATGCTGCGCACAACATCAACTCCTTCCCCTCTAAGAAACCGCAGTGTTCAAGCAATCTCGTTCCCTTCTATAGAAACGACATATTTAAGTAACTGTTTGAATAAAAGGTCCTTGGGCATATTTGTCCGCGCTCACCGGAACAGCTAGACATGAAAAACCGTTTATACTATTTGTATGCGAGCACCACACAACACCTCCTCAACACTTTGTCAACTCGCTATTTATTAACTTTTAAAAGCTCGCACTAAAGCTTTTAAGCCGCACACTCGAACTGTATTCCGTTTTTCTCGGAAGTAGCAAAAAGTACATTTCTCTTTAAGCCTTTTTGAAAGTCGCGATTCATTTCCACAGTTTTTCTTTCTCCTAAGGGGTTGAGATCTCGAAAGTATAATGCGAACGAGTTTATTAATAACTCCGACACTTTCCGTCGCGGCGCCACAGGACTGGGATAATTGCCGGTTCCTTCAGTTTTAATTCTCATTCGTTTAACTCTGACTGTATAAAGAGATGGAAACTTAGTTTTTATGTTAATTTTACGCTTCCATTTTTTTATGGAGCATAAGCGTTTGCCGCTATAAACTAAATGCAACGAATAACGACCTAGAGACGTAATTGTTAGTGGAAACATTGTAAAGCTACAATTTCCCTTGCTTTGCATTAATTTTTCATTCGGTTTTGTTGATCGTTCGATGAAATGTGAAATGTCCCAGTCGTTTCAATAACAGCTTGCTGGTAATTTAAATAAATAAAACATATGGTCTCTGGTTCTTTACTAGTATTTATATGATATTAAAATAATATATATAGCCAGATTGAAAAGAAAGAAAAATTAGTACTGGTAACATTGTGGCATGTTGACAAAAGATTTATTTATTCAAGTTAAAAAAAGTGAAACAAGTGAAAAGCAGAGTAATGCACTGAGTAAATATATGCAGCTTGAGATTGTGGTAGACCACAGCGCCAAGTAGGATTGTCTGCGCGGCGTGAAACCCCGCCTAGCGCTATAAACAACGCTTTCAAGTGGTAATTTTAGCCTGTGGTTGCAATTTTCACCAGTCCTCAAAATCGTTTTCTAAACCGAGACCGTTGCGGCAAGTGAATGAATTAAACTCACGTAGATACGTAACGAAGGGGAGTTTACGGAACTTTTACGAAGAGCCGCTGTTTGAAATGCTCGTGTGGAATATTAAATTGTTTAAGTTACCTTTGACGTCCCCTTCTGCTTTAGCCACGTACCGTGATAATTACTCTTGCTTAATTTCCATAACGCTACTTTGTTTTCGACTTCAGTAGTGGAAACTCTCCCAGCACGTTACGAGACTAGAACACAAAGGTATGTGGTATGTTCGCCGCTTCTGCTTCTCTGATACTTCTTCTCTTCTTCTCCCTCGTGTCTCTCTTAGTCGCGATCGTCATTTAGTTTTGTACAATAAACCGTAAAGAGTGAGTCTAAATCTGTGCTCAGTTTAATACTGAAAAATAAATTGCCCAACGCTCCAGGGTCGTGAAAAAGGACAGTTTACACTTTCAATAGAGCCGTCTGCGATATTGCTTCCCCCAGCCCATTCGGAGTGCTTACTTAGTTATAATATGCATTAAACTGCGCTAGCCGACGTAAAGTTGTAACACCGCTCGAGGTGCCGGCAGACAATGAGAAATGAGAGTATGATGTTCCCCGCAATGCGGGCTCCGCTCCGTTCCATTTGTTTTATCACGCCTAAATCACTGTTGCTACACAACTCCTGGTTGATAAAACTTTGACAGCGACTGTCGTGTACACGCCCCCGTTTGTCGATGGAAGGGGAAGGTATCAAAGACATTAAGAGTGTTTAGAAGTTAACGAAGTTAATTAAATTCCTTGAGACATCACCAGCGAGTGTAAGGGCGCCTTTGTAAACAAATATTATAATGATGTAAACGTATCGCGCGCAGACAGTTCACATTAACAATTGCGAAACTTAATTATGGGGGTTTGGGTGTGTATCAACATCAGCGTCAGCGATGAGTTAGGCCTTGTTCCCGACTTCGTAATAACTTCCAAGTGCGAACTAGAAAAACATATACATATAATTAGTATTAATACATTAATAGTGTGCTCAGTAAGACCTTTCTTTACTACTAAACATGCTTTATCCTCTCGACGCCGGCGCCGATCGACCGTGGAGGACCACTCGAGTGAGGATCCGTTCAGCTCTCATCCATTTCGAGATAGTCAAAGCTAACTAATTTAATAAAATAAATATAGCCTAAGGCTATCTCATCTTCTCCGTAGCTTAATGTTCAGCGTTGTACGTGAGGTCCCTGGTTCGAATTCCAAGGAAACGATAAATTGTTTGGATCGGAAAGTAGTCAGTCTGATCAACTATTAACCTGTAAATAAATTCGGTCAGTGAAACGAATAGGTACCTATAATAATGTATTCGTCCAATTCCCCATAGGGAGTCATTATTATAAATAGTTCATTGTTTATCGTAATCGGCTCATTCGTTCAAGCGATAGTGGAACATACACAGGCAAAAATACCCCCGAACCGTTGTCGAGTGAAACTGAATTCCCTTGCGAAAATCAGGAAGTTAGCAAAGTATAGTGGATAAGCTTTGACTGATCTAGCCGTAGCTGTTATTAAAACGATTTAAAATGCACAGTCAGCTCAGCCGGCGAGCGGTCAGCGGATATATCGTAGCCATCATGATATAATTACGTGAACTCCAAGTCACAAAACGCTTAGCCCTTTGAGGTTTGGAATTCAGTTAGAGTTAGTGCGCTGGCCAGACAGATTTAATAGCTTTTACGCATATAAATGTCGCGGGAAGTTACTTTAACGTCCGTTTTGCGATGTTAACATTTGAAGGTGGAATACTGCGAGATTTTTTACGTAATATAAGTTGATTAGACATATTTTGTTTAGACTTTCGACTACTCCACTCCAGTCAAATTACACTTTGAAGCTTAATACCAATAGAGCTGAAGATGGGTATTAGTTTTCAGAATACTGTTACAAATGAATTGTGAAAAGCCTCTAGAGGCCCCTTGGGGTCCTTTTTTTATTGATGGTGAAAGTTTTCAAAAAATAAGTTTTTCGCGTTTTTAGCTAAACGGTGGATTTTACAGCAAAAATATTTCCGATTAAAAGTGTAATAATTATCTGACTTTCTACAAATTCACACTTTTTTACATAAGTATTCATTATTTTTACAAAATTTCTATTCGCATTTCCGCGATGCAGCGATTCGATATTCAACTGGGTAGTCCCAGATTTGTATTCCAAAGAACTATTTTCTACAGTATCAATGTAAGTTTAATCCCGTAGGGAGTGGGTAAAGGAAAAACGTAATGTTACAAATTCTTAAAATATAGATACCGATAACTTCACTATTTGATATACTTATAATAATTTATATTACTTTCTCTTCGGTCGCAAAATCTCCATTGGGAGAGCATTATGTAGTTAGTTCTGGCACTGATTTAACGGTGGTAGTTCCAGAAGATGGTGGGACTAAGCAAAACCCCCTTCTTATGGCAGAGACGTGTGCCCAGCTGTGGTGAAATAATAGGCTGTAGTGATGTAATATTTTTACGATACCATAAAAAGTTTCTTTACATAAACATTAACAGGCTCATAATAATTTACAGCGCTCATATCATATAGGTAATAACGATACACTGTGATATTGCTCTTAAAGTATCGGAAAGCCATTTGCCTAAGTGCATGAAGTCAAAGTTTCGCCGTAAACATGAATTGCGACCAAAGGAAATGATATGTGAAGGTGCATTAGTACTAACACATTTTAAATAGGTAT